TTATATATATTTGGGAATGTGCATTCAATTATACTAAAATCTCATTCAAATAGTATATTATTATTATATATTTATTATATATTATATAATAATAATAATAATAATATACGTTTACAATTTTTTGTAGCCTTTTCATTTTTTTTTTCTTTATGTACAATATCCTTTCATTTTCGTACTCATTTATAAATAAACTCTCACTTTTCTCTACATCAATATATTATATTCTCCTCTTTATCTCTTCAATTTCATTTTATTAATATGGTGAGTTCCAATTTTTTTTTGTTTTTTATTTCATAGTGTATCTAAATATAATATGATGTTTTTATTCTATATATCTTTTTTCACTTTAGTTCAAAATATGTATATTATTGTATAAACTATTTTTCTTATTAGTCTTATTATTTTTTTATGAATTTTTTTATAGAAGATAAGATAATTCTTTTTTTGAAAGAATTTTATAACTTTATCTATTTAAAATTTATGTATTATTTTCTTTTTAGATTATTAATGATTCAATTTTTTTTTTTTTTTGGATGTGTGGTAAGGACAAACTTTATTCAAGGGCTTAGAGAAAAGGTATGAATTTGATAAATGTCAAGTTACATAAAAATATTACATTTTTTTGTAAGGTATTATGTTTTTTATTTCATTTATATTATATTATTATTAACTTTTTGATTCTTTTAAATATAAATTTTACTTCTCATTCCTTCTAAATTGTATATATATCAAATATTACTATTATGTATGTTTGGGAATGTGCATTCAATTATACTAAAATCTCATTCAAATAATTTTTTGTAACTTTAATTTGAGCATTTATATTAATATATTAAAATAGTTTGTAATACAAATTAAAGGAATAAAATAAGAATGGAGAAAAATGATAGGAAATTGAAAATGAGAAAAGGGACAAAAAAATAATCATAAAACAAAATTTTACAAGTTAAGTAATTATAAAAAAAAAAGTTGGTAAAGACTAATGTAAAAAAAAAAAAGATAATTGTTAAAGTATATTTTTTTATTAAAATAATAATTGATATTTTTTACTTCAATTTTAAAGAACTATGAAATTGATTAAATAAGAATTAAAAATAATTAAGGAAGATGAAAAAAAAATAAAAGTATAAGATAAAAATTATTTGATTATTAGACTAACAACTAATAAAACTTATATATTAAAAAAAATTAAAAGGTAAAAATTGTTTAGATTTACGGTCTATATTTATATCTATCTATTTATATCTACATATTATATAAAATCTTATACTCAAATATTAATTAGGCTCTAAATTTTTTTTTATTTTAAATATAAAAACATATTTTGTTAAAAGTTAAAAAGAAAATATAGTATTTTTACATTTAAAATATAATAAATATAT